CATGTACAATTACAGCAAGATATCCACTTCCGTGACTGAAGTGCAGTGCTGAGTGTTGAGCTGGTTCCGTCCTTGTCTATACATAGTATTTTCGATAGCATTGACATTGCCGTGACTACAACTGCGAGTAGAATTTGACCCAACGTCATAGTGGTGAATGAAGAGAGTCCAACTGCAGCGAATATCAAAGCATACACTATAATTTTGAATCTGTTACTTTGCAAAATGTAATCAATAGAGCGTTAAAACTGTGGTATTGCGGATACCTCAACTACCACCTAACCCCTCTCTCTCTATACAATTCTCTTCACCAACTTCCTCATATGGAAGGGAACAGGTGGGAAAATGTATTTATAATTTAATACTTATGGGGTCAAGCAACCTGTGCTTTGATTGTAATTCGTTAATTTATTAACTCAGGAAAGCAACATTTATTCTATTGCGATACAGTTCCCACCAAATTCCCACTTCCCACTCTTTCTTATATTCAATGGAATCTTCAGACCTACCAATTTCCTCCTCATTGTCAATTAGGTGTGGGCATTTCTCCGGCATTACATCAAGTGAAGCAAGACTAGAGCTGCAGATAGAGCTTCTCCATCGCTACGCAGTTGAGAGGAATGAATGAAGTGGATGGTACAATGACAGTGGTAAACTTGCTAATGCCACGCCCTTTATACATTGATATACCTTCTGCATTTTTGCCTAAATTGAGGGTTGGCCAAGCGCATGGTGAAGAGAGATTATTGCAGAAGGGGATAGCAGTTGCATGACCTAAGGATAGGACCTCATTAAATGAGTGGGTGCTGCTTTTGGCTCAAATAAATGCATTGAGCTTTTCATACACCATTAACCAATGAAACTACGGTAAACGCCTCTATCAAGCTTTGGGAAGTTTCAAGCACAATTCCCTCATATTTTCTGACGTAATACATTCGTAACATCTATTCTACTCATTTGTCCAATGCAACGATGATGCTTGTGCAGGAATTTGGAACTAAAATGACATGTTTACAAGGCGTGAACACGAGGCGCTTGCTTCCCACATTGAGTGATAATGTTTGGACT